ATATATATATATATATATAAAGTCTACAAATTTTTAAAAATTTTGAAAACTATTTGATACTTTATTTTGTTAATTCAAATTGATAGATAATCATAAAGTATTTTATATGTTGATTTGAATTTATATAACGAAATATCAGATGATTTTCAAATTTTTAAAGAATTTGTAGATTTGATATATGTTTATAAGAAAAAAGTGATTTTTATGATGATAATATTTGTCATTATAATCTTAAAAAATCATCACTACATATGTCTTGTGACGACATTTTAATTTGTCATCAGACATCACTAATACACAAGTCACTATTTTATTATTGACTATTTTTTTATATGTCACACAATAAATTATTTATTATGATAAAAAAAATATTATTACTAGTACTTAGACACAATAGTAACAAAATCACATTGTCACAAGTATACAAGACTATATAGTGACAACTTAATGGTAACTACTAAAAGTTAAAAAATTAATAATAAAATTAAAAAATTTAAGTTTTTAATTTATATTTATAACAATGAATTGATAAATCAAAGATTTAATTTGATATATAAATATTAGGAGATAAATAACTTGAATATAATTAATATGCTAAATTTATATTTATAACAATGAATTGATAGAAATAATAAATCAAAGATTTAATTTGATATATAAATATTAGGAGACAAATAACTCGAATATTATTAATGTGCTAATATATGAAGATAACTAGTATTTTAACTATGTATGTACTCATCAAATAGTATTTATAGTTTATTGATATTATATAATAACAAAAAATTATTAAGCATAAAAATAATGTTTTAAAATTTAAATAAATATTCTAAGAGATATATAATTTAAATTTTATTAATACTTAACAGAGAAAAATTGATTAGTTCTAGAACAAATTATTTGATAAAAATATAGTTAAAAAATTAATTATTTAAATTATTTAATTAGAATCTTATTGACAATTTACTATATTATTTTGATATTTTTGTATAACTAATATCTAGTTTTAAATTTGATATAAAAATATAATCATATAATCAGTTAAGATTTTAAATTAGTATTTTATTAATAGTTGATAATTAGAAAATAAAACAAGGATAGATATATTTATTTGAATTTTGTATCTTAGATTTAAGATAAATAAATATATCAAGTTAATTAATAATTTATTTAAAATGTTAAATTTAATTTATAAATAAATATTATAAATAAAATAATTGAATTAAATAAAAATAAATAAAAAATCCTTCAAAATACTCTTGTTCACATTTAAAATATAGGTTTTTAATTTATATTAAGATTAAAAATTAAAAATTATATTATCATTACAAGTTATAAAAATAATATTTTAAAATATATAAATTTTTATTTAAACTTTTAAATTCATAATAAATAATTTAAATCATATCATAATATTAATTTTAAATAGGAATAAGTAGATTGTTAATTATAAAAGTAAGTATATACACAAATAAAGATTAATTAAATATAATATAATTATTATTGGTTAATATAATTATTATATATAATATTTATGAAAATGATTAGATTAATATATTTATGAAATTGATCATTATTATATATTATTGTTAATCGGGTGAAAATAATGTAAAATGATTAGATTAATTGTAATATTCTATTTTCTAGAATAATAATAATATTATTATATTTTTATAACAGTCCGAACACACTGGAATGAGATGAATCTAGAAATTGTACAAATATGAGATTGTATAGTTGAGGTTGACTTAAAAGAATTAATTTATACTATTTATACTAACAAGATTCATCTACTTTT